TCTTACTAAAAGAAAACCTTAACACCCTTCACAGTTTTACAGAATGGCAGAACAAACAAACAAAAAATGCTAATATACAAATGCACACATGCAAGCATGCACACAGACAGACAAACAGACAGACATATATACACACACACAATGTAGATATAAACAAGCACAACACAAACATGCACACACACATCACAAACACACACATCACAAACATACACACACAAATCACAACACACACATCACAAACACACACACACAATATAAATATATAAAACATCAGAAAAACAGAAGTAATATTAACTGTAAACAAAAACTATCCAAAAAATGAAATATCAAAACAAATGGAACTAGTCCAAAGCAATTCAATGCGTTAAAACTTATGGGTACCCTAGTAACAACAGATGAAAGTTAATTTAGTTAGACATACATAAAATAGTACAAGCAAAACCAGCATCAAAGAAATAAGAATATTCTATTGCAATTTATTTCTGGTCAACTGAGATGAGAAAGAGAACTGTTATGAGTAAGCAGAAAAAAAACTTTCGTGTAGAGAAGTCAATCTTGGACAGTTAGCATCCCTGTGTGGGTTCCTGGGCCCTATCTGGGGGGGGGGGGGGGGGGGGGGTGAGGCAATGAGACAAAAGGAGAGAAGATATTGGATAACATGGCATCATGATATGGAAGGACATTACAGAAGACAGAAGGTTGTGGACAGATATGACGGTCATTTTTTGATGCCACATGGAATGAAATTATGAAGCAGATTGAGTACGAGGGACAGTAGGGAGATAAGAAGGAAGGGAGTGTGTTTGTGTATGTGAGCGTAACAGAAAGGGAGTGGGGGGTGAAAGCCTCATTAACTCACACTCCAAGGGACCGAACGTTTGCGTTAAATAAAAATTTATGCTAACCGGAGACTCAAATCAACACATCCTTACTGGTACCAATATTTTGGTCATGTTAGCTGAGTGTTCATCTTAAGTGCATTTGTGTTAAAGAGGTTTTACTATATAAACATATAAAATGCATCAGCCTAATTATTGTCAAATATAAATAATGGAACACTATACAAAATGTCATGTAAATCAAATCACTGCAAAGATTATCCACAAAATCAACATGTCCACATCACATAGGAAGCTGGGCTAGAGCAATGGCTAGCACACTTACTGCCAGTCCTGTGGTAACAGGATCCAATCCTCACTGAGTCAAACACTGCCACTACCATTACCACCAGTAGGCGGGGGATGGGGAGGGTGGACAATCTGTGAGGCTGAGGATTTAGAGCAGTATGGCTAGTACTGTCGCCGCCGACTGTGCAGATTGGGATTTTCTTTTATTCCCCTGACAGAAAAAACCCTTGTCCTTCCAGAGGATTTGAAGCAAGGTCTCATGCATGAGAACCTAGCGGTCTTAACCATTTGGCCAGGTGCTCCTCCTGCACTGAGTATGATTTGTAAAACTGACCTCGGAAACCTGGTTGATTCAGCCTAAAAATAGTATCGGAGATGTACAGAGAAGTAAAGAAGGCCAACATTGTAAGGTAATTCCATTCATCAAGGGGAGAATTAAAATAAAATAAAAACTTTTTTACGCCTTTAAACATATTGGGCAGGACCTATATTTCACAGACCAATTGGCAGTCGGCACACACGGCCGCTTTTATTTCCCCTGACTTCACCTGATACCATGTTAAGGTTGGGTCAACTTGGGAGCTACGGTCATTTTATTTTTTAAAATTCCGGCTCCATCAGGACTTGAACCCATGACCTTTGAGCGTGTGAGAGAAGAATTGGGTTTAAAAAATATGCGGTAGCATTCTATGTTCAATACACACAGAGAGATGGATTTGGAGCCTTTAGTTTGCCTACAATACACACAGAGAGATGGATTTGGAGCCTTTAGTTTGCCTACAATACACACAGAGAGAGATGGATTTGGAGCCTTTAGTTTGCCAACAATACACACAGAGAGAGATGGATTTGGAGCCTTTAGTTTGCCTACAAGTCACACAGAGAGATGGATTTGGAGCCTTTAGTTTGCCTACAATACACACAGAGAGATGGATTTGGAGCCTTTAGTTTGCCTACAATACACACAGAGAGAGATGGATTTGGAGCCTTTAGTTTGCCTACAATACACACAGAGAGAGATGGATTTGGAGCCTTTAGTTTGCCTACAAGTCACACAGAGAGATGGATTTGGAGCCTTTAGTTTGCCTACAATACACACAGAGAGATGGATTTGGAGCCTTTAGTTTGCCTACAATACACACAGAGAGATGGATTTGGAGCCTTTAGTTTGCCTACAATACACACAGAGAGATGGATTTGGAGCCTTTAGTTTGCCTACAATACACACAGAGAGATGGATTTGGAGCCTTTAGTTTGCCTACAAGTCACACAGAGAGAGATGGATTTGGAGCCTTTAGTTTGCCTACAATACACACAGAGAGATGGATTTGGAGCCTTTAGTTTGCCTACAATACACACAGAGAGATGGATTTGGAGCCTTTAGTTTGCCTACAATACACACAGAGAGATGGATTTGGAGCCTTTAGTTTGCCTACAATACACACAGAGAGATGGATTTGGAGCCTTTAGTTTGCCTACAATACACACAGAGAGATGGATTTGGAGCCTTTAGTTTTGCCTACAATACACACAGAGAGATGGATTTGGAGCCTTTAGTTTGCCTACAATACACACAGAGAGATGGATTTGGAGCCTTTAGTTTGCCTACAATACACACAGAGAGATGGATTTGGAGCCTTTAGTTTGCCTACAATACACACAGAGAGATGGATTTGGAGCCTTTAGTTTGCCTACAATACACACAGAGAGATGGATTTGGAGCCTTTAGTTTGCCTACAATACACACAGAGAGATGGATTTGGAGCCTTTAGTTTGCCTACAAGTCACACAGAGAGAGATGGATTTTGAGCCTTCAGTTTGCCTACAAGTCACACACAGAGAGATGGATTTGGAGCCTTTAGTTTGCCTACAAGTCACACAGCTCCTACATATTTCTAGCAATGCCAACCAATTCATAAACATTTACAAAATAGCAACAACAATGGAGGTCATAACTTAGGATCTTTCACAATAAAAATGTATTGTAAGTTCCAACAAAAAGTCATTACAGTTACATGAGAGATGCAGTTCTGAAGTATTCAAGGGCTGCGTCTAGCCATTCAGAAATCTGTTGGACTTATGATGTTTCTGTTACCTGTGGCTCATATTGCTGATCCACCTTCCGATGTTGCAGACATCTCAGTGTCTTCATGTTGACTGTACCCAGAAGGACTTAACTGGTACATCTTCTTTCTGTGCCCTGCAACCAGTTTCTGCATGACTGTCCTCATTTAACACCTGTTTCTGTCAGAGGTGTTAGCTGAAATGTGCAAACATCCCAGCTGCGCTGCAAACATGCACAACAAAATTAGTAACTCGATGAATGATGAAGAAGAAGACAAACATTTCCAACATGTGGTTCATAATCTCCAACTCCTTTGTGTCAATGTCTCTGAAATGCAGTGCATTCAGTATGTTTATCCTGTCCATACTGCTTCCTAATTAACCTCTTCAGACATGGCCAGTCTGTCAGCTCTTTAATTTCCTTTCACAACGGCCCTGGGATCATATCATCATCATCATGGAGCAGATCCCAACCATGTTGTGAGTAGTTAGTGGTGATTTGAACAGATTATGGATTTTTCCTTGAGTAACTGACATAGTGATCAACAAGGCATGCCTGCCTGCCAGCCTGTTGTTGGCTAGTTCAAATCCCTTTTGTGGTAGGGGATTTTGTCCACCGATACAGGCTCTGTCTGACTGGCCTAAAACGGGTACTGGAAAAAAAAAGCTAGAAAGTTAAAGGAAGGGATAATGATCCCATGTGAGTTATGAACTCTTTTGAAATCACTTCTTTTTCTTCTCTGGTCTTGTTCTGCTTTTCAATGTCAGGTTTAAAACAAGTATGGGGTGTGGGCCTTGCTATGTGCTACATAGATGCTATGATCTATGGCCGTAGATATTCTAGCTATCCATCGTTTACATGGTCAACCTCTAGGTCTGCTTCCGCTATTTCTAAATGACAGAAAATCATTAGAGTTTTAAAATCACACTGGAGAGGAAAGCCATAGGAAAGTGAACCAGGTAGACAGTGACACAAATAGAAGAAGAACAAAATATCAAAGAGTCTAAGAGAGTGTACAACTAAGATAAGAGACAGAGAGTGTGTGAGATCTGCGTCAGCCAGTCTTCTTTGTGAAGATGACACATGACTGATTGAGTGAAAGAAAAAATTGGGACTTTTAAACTTCAAATTTACAGGCTGATTTTTCAACTTTCCCAACAAAGAAGAGAAAAAACACTGATATTCTTCAATATTTAACTCTTTCAGTCACAGAAATTACCACAGCGGCCTAAGAAGAGAAACAATCACTATTAATAATCAAAAGTACAAAAATGTAACAGGCAACTGGGAATGCTAGATTTTTGTAGTATTATACGAACAAAACATATTGCGTAATGTTTGAGATTCATGAGAATGAGTTTCTCCCAAATGATACACTGCTTGGCACTGAAAGTGTTAATATGAAGAAGAGGAAACTGGCTCAGAAACAGTATCACTTCTCATAAACTGAACATTTTTCAGCTAAAAAAAAGGTTTTAGAGAACAATAGCTGAGGACAGGTTTCATGGAGAAAAAAAAAATGCTGGTGGGACCATAGACACGGGATTTCAAGGACACCCAGGTTATAATGGTTCATGAAGCAGGAAAGCTGACAGGGAACTTTTCTGCAACATGAAGGTGATGAATGACCGATCACCTACTGAGTGCCAACAGGTAAAAAATACGGTCTTAACATCATATACCAAATTCAGCCCTATGTTGTGAAAAAAGAAGTCCATTACTGTATAACAACTGCACAACTTTTAAATGGACACCCAGTAGCAATGTATTCATGCGCGGAGAAAATGGCAGCTGTTGTACGGCGCACATCAGCTGGCGGCTTTGACCAGATGGTCCAGGATAAACTTGATGAGAATTCTATAAATTGTGTCCATGTTGTCGGTGAAGCGATCCTCAAGGATGATTCGGATTGCGTCCAGGAAGGGCTGTTCCATCAGCTGAAATGAAAATAGGTCAAGGGTAACTCTTTAGTAAAGGTTAGTTGCGTATACTTTACAGGACGTTGCAGAACCAACCCCAGCAGCCCCTGGCTGTTGTGTGGTTTTTCTAGGCAAATTTACGTCCAGTAGTTTGCCTTGCTTTTGGACGGTTGGCCCCCTGATACCACTGTCGAAATCGACGCAAGGCGCATGGCCCGCAGTTGGGATCGAACCCGCCACCCCGGATCGAGCCCGGCACTCTGGCATTACGAAGCGTTCGCATCGACTTAGCCACAGAGCTGACAACTCTTTAGTACCAGCCTTATGTCTCCCTCGACACCCGAGGCGGTAAAAGAGGACGTGAAGAATAAGAAGAACAATATCAATCCAGACCAGACGTAGTCTGCTTCCCAACATTAAAAACAAATAAAAAATATGAAGACGACGGAGACAAAATGAACGTTACGGCTATAAAGTCTTCATCAGTGCACGACATAAACTGACAATGATATAGTTACAAACAGGCATACACTAAATCATTTATCTGTATGATGAAGTCTATAACGAAATATCAGTAGAACCTGTGAGTGTTAGGGTGGTTGGTGAGTCAGACAGATAGTATGAGCTAATTAAAAAGTGAGAGAGAAAGAGTGAGCTAATTAAATAGTGACAGTGAAAGAGAAGAGAAGAGGAGAGAGAGAGAGAGAGAGAGAGAGAGAGAGAGAGAGAGAGAGAGAGAGAGAGACAGAGACAGAGACAGAGACAGAGACAGAGAGAGGGGTGACAGCGTGAGTGAAAGGCGATGGAATCGAGAGAATAAAAATAAGGGGCAGAGTGCGCTGTGGTGAGAGGGAACGAACGAACGAACGAACGAACACACTTTTGCTGCAAAAGGTTAGGAACTGGATGCATAGTCGTCTAACATTCTGTCATTCTAACCTCGCTTCTTTCATACGTAACTGCTTTCATCCGTAAATATGTTATCAGGTAATAATAAACATCGCCATAATACCTAGCCTAAATATTACATACACGCACCTGACTGTGCTCCACTTGTGCCAACATGTTACACATAATACCTAGCCTAAATATCACACACACGCACCTGACTGTGCTCCACTTGTGCTTATATGTTCAACACAGGATATCATTGTCATTTAGATATGAATAATGGTTAGTTGGTGGTATTTTTGATCTGTTACTCCCAGGTGGGACCCGGGACTCAAAGTGGGGGGGGGGGGGGGGGAAGAGGAGGGGGGGGGGCAGGAACAGACCCACTGCCTCCCCAACAAGTCTGTTGTAAAAGTCGACTGATTTGGGGGGGGGGGGTCTGCCCGAGAGGCGAGAAGCTAACAGCCTACATACAAGTAAGCTAGACGTGTAGAACGTATGTGTACGCAACGCTGACGGTATCGAACAAGACTGAAGTTCAGAAAGCAGAAATTTCCGCCAGTTTACATCAGGGAAATGCGAAGAAGAAGAAGAAGAAGAAGAAGAAGAAGAAGAAGAAGAAGAAGAAGAAGAAGAAGAAGAAGAAGAAGAAGAAGAAGAAGAAGAAGAAGAAGAAGAAGAAGAAGAAGAAGAAGAAGAAGGAGATTTGTTGTGGAAGATGGTTCCACAGTTGAGCTGAAGGAGAGCATGTTTGTGGGGAAGGGATGGGAGAAAGTGAGAGAAAAAAGACAGGAGTCTAGCAACTTCTGTAGCTTGCAGTCGAAGAGACAGACCACGCTGCATGGCCAACATATGTGGTCTCCACTTTGCTACAACATATGTGGTCTCCACAATACTGCAACATATGTGGTCTCTACAATACTGCAACATATGTGGTCTCCACAATACTGCAACATATGTGGTCTCCACAATACTGCAACATATGTGGTCTCTACAAACTGCAGCATATATGGTCTCCACAATACTGCAACATATGGTCACCACAATACTGCAACATATGTGGTCTCCACAATACTGCAACATATGTGGTCTCTACAATACTGCAACATATATGGTCTCTACAATACTACAACATATGTGGTCTCCACAATACTACAACATATGGTCTCCACAATACTGCAACATATGTGGTCTCCACAATACTACAACATATGGTCTCTACAATACTGCAACATATATGGTCTCTACAATACTGCAACATATGTGGTCTCTACAATACTGCAACATATGTGGTCTCTACAATTCTGCAACATATGTGGTCTCTACAATACTGCAACATATGTGGTCTCTACAATCCTGCAACATATGTGGTCTCTACAATCCTGCAACATATATGGTCTCTACAATACTGCAACATATATGGTCTCTACAATACTGCAACATATGTGGTCTCTACAATACTGCAACATATGTGGTCTCCACAACACTACAACATATGGTCTCTACAATACTGCAACATATATGGTCTCTACAATACTGCAACATTTGTGGTCTCTACAATACTGCAACATATGTGGTCTCTACAGTACTGCAACATATGTGGTCTCTACAATACTGCAACATATGTGGTCTCTACAATCCTGCAACATATGTGGTCTCTACAATACTGCAACATATGTGGTCTCTACAATACTGCAACATATGTGGTCTCTACATTACTGCAACATATGTGGTCTCTACAATACTGCAACATATGTGGTCTCTACAATACTGCAACATATGTGGTCTCTACAATACTGCAACATATGTGGTCACCACAATACTGCAACATATGTGGTCTCTACAATACTGCAACATATGTTCTCCACAATACTGCAACATATGTGGTCTCCACAATACTGCCCAGGCTTTGTGCTATAGAGAGGAGGAACTTCATTTCATCCCTGTTTTAACTGTCATCGATTCCCATTTCTGTCTATAGCATAATATAACGCTGTCGCCTGGAAAGACGGAAGGGCGCCTACAAGGAGGGAAGGAAGTGAGTGAGTGAGAGTGTGTATGTGTGTGTGCACGCGCGTGTGCGTGTGTGTGTGAAAGAGAGAAGAGAGAGAGAGAGAGCATAGAACACGGAGGACCAGGCCATACCTTCAGGAAATAAATAAATATAAGTCGATCAATAAACAATTATCGATGCAACCAACCCTAATCGATTTTCACTGGCATACTGAGGCCTGCCTGTCCCAGGCCACAAGTTCCGTCATGTGGGTCACGTTAACGCCAGACGTTAGTTATATCACCCACTCAGTGTAACCACCGTAATTATGTTTTGTGAGCGGGGGAAAACCCAAAGCGTAAATGATGATATGTTTGTGTTGATTTACTGAGCCGTGCACACCCACAACCTCATTCTGTACGTAACGGTAGTTAACTCTTGCAGTCCCATGCATTTATTGCTGTAACTCATTATATTGCAGAAAAATGAGCTTAACTCTTTCAGTACCAAGCAACTTACTGTGCGTTGATCAGTAACTATTTACATGTTATGCAGTTCTTATTCCTCAACTAGGTGGCATAATAACTCATTTTACTCTACGGTTTTCCTGTTTTAACCCATTAAAACCCAGACACGCTTTACTATAAATAATAAATGTTTACGATATACTCAATTATAGCAAGGGTCGGATTTAGACCTGATGAGACCCAAAGATATTTAAAACACAGAGGCCTCTGACGTTTTAAGCAACAAAAGCTCATCTAAGAAAACTGGGCTTTCCTCCGAATAACGGTCCCAAATTATCAAGCCCGGAAATATACCCTAACAGGGCATTAGTCACATGTAAATTAAGCACTTCCGGCGACTACCGCCACCGCCGAGAGTATCGGCGTGGAGCGGGGCTAAACTAGATATCCGGGACTAACAAGCAAATAAAACGAAGGAAGCTGCAGGAGATGCGGTAACTGCTACTCGTGAGTCCCAGCCATGTAGTGTAGCGGCGTGGGAGAAACTCTCGGCGGTTTTATGACTCTCTTTACTACCCCCTGGGCCTGTGATGCTAAACCCTCTGGGACTCAAAGAGGGTCTGTTAGGGTATATTTTCGGCCTCGATAATTTGGGACCGTATTTCGGAGGATAGCCGAAAACTGTCACATATATATCTTTTCAATATATGGATAATAAAAATATACTGTCGTTTAATTGTTAGTAAAAAGATATTAATAATAAATTATAAATAATGTTTTTGCAAAAAATATCAAGAACATCACAGACACATCCATACGTCATTGCACTAGACGAGGTCAAAGACCGAAAGTTCAACCTCTCGCGGATCGACAGCAACAAAAACAAGAAATATATCAAGTTGTTCCATACGTAGGATAAGTGTCGGCAACGAAACAAATAATGTATGCGGAACAAATTCAAGCCTAAAAATAAAGAGGATAACCGAGAGAGACAAAGGGGTAATGATTGCCACTTTTTAAAGTGTAGGTACGGAGTCTCCAGGGATAGATGGTTAAACCGTTTGCCTAGCGGTCAGAAGGCGGTAGGTTC